CCAACTTGCTTTTAATATGATTTTTAAGTGGCTATCAGCATCTTCATTCCAAAGACAGCATTTATGAATGTGAGTTGAATTCTTTAAGAGAAAAACATAAGTCATCCATGAAAAAGTATTACATCTCAGGCGACCTTGGCACTTGTGGTTTCATCCTTGAAACGATCCACAGTCATTTATCTCTATATAAAGGGTGGAGAAAATTAGCAATAAGACCATAGGACACTGAATCTTAGGATCACAGTGAATGACTGAGTCATGTGACTCGGCCCTAGGTAATCCCTAGGGACATCAGTTAATTTTTCCAATCTTAACTGGTGATGTATGAAAGTTACACTGCACTGCAGCGGGTACACAGCTGTTGAATCGCTGTAACTAATGTTGTCATACAAAAGCTAAGCCCTAAAATCTATTCATAAGAGATTCATGGGCTATTAGAGACTGGCCGGGCTCTTAAAGGTCATTTCGCACAACATCTTCTAGTTACAAACCATGAGGACCATTCTAGTCAAATCACTTAGCACAGCCACAACCAGGGCGTCAGACACGTTTCTAGTCAGTCATGACATGCTTAGATCTCAAGGGAGAGAACAAGTATCAGAAAGAATGGATCAATGTCAACCCAGAGATGACTGGTTCTGTGTGAGCTGAAGCCCTGGAGAGGCCTGTGAGGACTCCCAAAATTGGTGTGCTCAGGAGGGCCAGAAGAGGCAGCCAATGGTTGTGGTATCACTTGGTCTCATTAGAGAAAGCCACTGCACAGATGGCTGACGGCATTAGATTTCTCAGCAGTTCTAACTTTCCCCGCCACCTGTCATGCCACATCCCTTCAACTGAAGGGAACAGACCCAGTGTACAGAGTGTGCTGATGTCGCCTTGGTTGCAGCTCCGTTACAATCAACAATGGGCTCGTCAAATTGCAATCCACAGGACAAATGCAACCCCCCACTTCAATTTTAAACAAGGATCAGGAAGCAGGCACAGTCATACACTTAGGACCCTGTAACTGCTTCAGGGAATAAGAGCAGACATGACAGTTGAAGCCGACCAAATAGTTCAAATCCTAATATATTTTACTGTCTATCTGGTCCCTTCTAGAAAATGTTTTGCCAACATCTAATAGAGAACTTTACAAACGCCTTGAAGAGTTCTCTGTAGTCTTGGGAAAAGTCAACTGGCTTCTTCAAAATGTTTTGATGCCATTAACTGAGACTTAATGCAATGGGGGATAGTTCGATGGTCATCTTCAGCAAACATGAAAGATATGTTTGACATGAAAGATAACCTACCTTCTGTAAGGATGAACCGAAGTCTAACCTCCCTGTTACTCTGGCACGTTGGGGGAAATGGAGTTCCTTACAAGGCATAGCCGAAGATGCATCTTTAAACGGGTGTGTGTACGAGAAGTCAGGGATTTGTCTTAAACTGTCTAGCTTATTCATTGTAACAGTCCTGTTATGTAGTAGTACTTGTTCCTATTTCCATGGGAAAGTAAACTAAGGACAGTTAAAGTCACAGAGGTTTGTTAACTACTTGACTCTATATTTTCTGCCCTACGCTTAAAATTGCCTGCCTATGAGAAGCAGTTCACAGTGGCTCCGGTCAGTCAGCCCAGATGAAATAGAGATCTCAATCTAAGCTCTTAGAAATTTACACTGTAAATCACCGTTCTGCAAGACTGCTCAGGGAAAAGTTGAAAATGCTCGGAGAGCTCTATCTTCATGAGAAGAATTAGATGCTGTTAAGAAGTAATAAACTCTGAAAAAGTTTCCCAAACAGTTATGAAAACTCCTTTTATTGTTTGGTTGGTTGTTTTGGTTTGATTTTTCGAGAAAGGACTTCTCTGTATAGCCCTGGCTGCCCTGAATTTCACTCTGTAGACCAGGCTAGTCTCAAACTCAGAGATCTGCCTGCCTCTGCCTCCAGAATACTGGGATTAAAGGCAAGTGCCACCACTGCCCAGCCAGTTATGGAAACCCTTAATCAAATTATCAATATCCTATGAAACTTAGGGTATCCTATGGCATACACTTTGGTAATTGATAAAAATAGTGATGATGATGACTGATCATAATAGCCATTTATTAAGTGTTACAGCCATTTATTAAGCAATACTATCATCCTAGGCTAGCATCTACGTGCATTAAATTCATTTCATACTTGCAGAAACACTGTAAAACATGTCCTACAACTCACTCCATTAACAGATAAACCAAAAGATGAAAGACAAAGAGGATGAACTATTTGCCTAAAAGTCATGTAGTCAGTAAGTACTGCAGGCTAGGAGCTTATCAAGTATAGCGGTGAGGTACCAACCAATTGTTGTGCACCCTCCTCCTGGCACACACTATGCCCCCTGAAAATGGCACTTGAATAGATCGGAGATGAGTATAATAAAGAAAAGTTACACTAGACAGGCTGCTCTTTCAGAAGACTCGGGTTCCATTCCCAGTACTCACATGGGGGGGTGTGAGTCCCTCTTCCGGGTTCTGTGGGCACTGGGTACCAGGTACATGTTGTGCCCATACATACACCCAGGCAAAGCATCCACACACATAAAAAGGAAGTAATTTTTAAAGAATTTGAAGTGACTGAAGCGTATTGATTAGACCATCTAAAGCATCCGATGATATTTACACAATCGGAGTGTTTTCTCATCAGTTTTTGTGTTTGCGCCAGAGAAAATCACAATGCAATATTCCTACTATGAGCCATTTTGTATTGTGTCACCACTTTCGTATTTGGTTTTTCTGTGCCGGTTTAAGGTTAATGTGAAGATGATAGAAAAATATCAGATAGTGAGACACTATTTAGCCACAACAACAACAACAACAAAAAACCCTTTCATCTGAAAGTGCATTAAAATAGGTCTTTCAGTGAAATACCGAGTATATGAAAAGAGACAACATCACAGCCATAAGGAACCACTGATTGCCTTTGTTGGTAAAGTGGATGGATTTTCCTTAATGCAGCATAATAAAAGCCATAGAAAAGGGTCAATAGGAGCTTTTTAAATGTTTCAGACCTTAAAATACATCAAGGTCAAATTTAGTAAATAAAAAGCTAGTGAATTTTCAGCAGAGGTTGGTGTGAGCCAGAGGGCACTAAGGAAGAAAAATCAATACACTTTCAGATTTAAAAGGAAGGGATGAGAAGGCAGCTTGATAGTGTCTTGACAAAATAAAAAGGGAAATTTTTGTGTAGCTCTTCAAGAGCTTGGAGCGCAGTGATCAAAACTCTGATACCAACTACCGTTGCGATCAGAAATAGAATAGTGGCTGTTCCCAATGACAGCTTACTGTGGTGTTTTTAGGGTCTTGTTTGTTAATTCCTAAACAAAACTACTATTAGCTCCATTTCACAGGCTGGAAATGGAGGTCCAGAGGGGTAAAAAAAAGCAGAAAGTCCTTGTCCGTGTTTCTGCAGCAGGACAAGATGGATTCAGGACTGCAGGCTGTTTCAGAGTCCGTGCTACAATTTGAATACCATGTAAAAGAGAAGATTCAAAGGCTCAAGGTTCACAGGTCCAGGCAACAAAGCGATGCCCACTGGCATTGTCAGCATACATGAAAAAACTCACTAGACAGAGCTACCAAAATGTTGGATGTCAACAAGTGGAAGGCAGTCCTTGCCACACGCACTGGCCCCTCCTTGAGCTTGCTCGGTGACAGGTTTCCAGACACTGGTATACATCCTGCCACTCAAGAACTCCATCAGTTTAGGGGGGGATGCATTAGGCATGACCAGTGATGGTCTGTCTCTCCAGTACCCTTCACTGCTGTATACTAGGATTTCTTAAACCTTCAACGACCTGTTCTCAGCCTGGCCAACCGTTCACTGCCGCTTCAAAGCTCAGTCAGCCTTTCCTGATTGTATTTATGCTGTGTGTGGTGCTTTAGAATTACAAGACTCAGGAGCCATCGCAGGCATGGTAGCATTCAGCAAAGTCCAGAAAGGGAAGAGAGGTTTCTTCAGAGGAGGCACAGCTAGATTCTGTGCTGACAAAAGGCAAACAGAATTTGACAGTCAAGTATTGTGCCCAGAGTCTCAGGGTGGGAGCTATTTGAGAGTCAAAACTCAGAGCCCTCGAAAGAAATAGCAGATTAAGTCTTGAGTGAAAACAAATCCTGGAAGTTATTTTCATATTGTATCTACATTTCAAAATGCCTGCTTCTCTGTGTCCTCTTTGTGGATGACACTTAAGTCAGTTTAAGCAACCCAAGAGTTTGTTCGAACGGCATGGGGAAAATGAGTAACATAGGAACTTAAACTCACAAGGTTTTCGAAGAACGCTTGGCTTTAAAAGGTTATTTTTTAAAGAATGATTTGTTTTATTTTATTAGTACTGGGAATTGAATTCAGAGCCTTACCCATACTATTTGTGTGCTCTACTACTGAGCTAAACCTCCTGCTCCTAAAGATGTATTTGAAACAAATGAGTCAAGCATACTGTGACCTATTGTTAGATCTGTAGATCAGTTGATTATAAAAATGAAAATTGGATACTCTAGTCTCTATCAATGAGCATCTAAAAATACCATATAGACAAGCATAATATATTTTAATTAACTTTTAATAGCTATATATCCTTATTTTAGTAGTATAATACATGCATACCAGATATACTGGTCAGATCAGATTAAGTAGTGTTTTCTATGCCTTGTTATTTTGGAGCCTTCTGGGGTCTCTCTCTGGTTCTTCATAAAGGATAGAATAAGATATCGGGAAGCCTGTGCCTTTTGCAGATTGCAATTCTCATTAATAAACTCAGATTGTCTTACCATTCAGAGCAATCAAAAGTAGCTCTGGCTCTTAGTTAGACCTAATCAGTCTTATAGCCCTTTGTCGATTCTGCCCCCTAAATCTTATAAAGGGGGATTTTCTTTTCTTCTTAAAGCTAATAATCAGTTAGAGATGAACAGTCGCAGTTGGTGTGACTTGTTAAGGAATCAGAGCAGAAGCCACAAAGTTGATGGTAAAACATAAATATACCTACTTACCTGGATGGCTCTGACGTTGGAAACTGGCTGTTTCGACATATTCACAAGATCTTATCCCTAAAAAAAAAAAAAAAAAAAAAAAAGACACTGTTAGAGGTGACAGCCTTCTGATTCAAGGTCTTGATAAATTAGAGTTTTAACTCATGATTCAACTGAGCAGTTGCCCCTTTCACTGGCCATATATTCTTTCAGTCTCAGTTTCTGCAGTTACTTGGAGACTCTCCTGCGCAATGCCTCAGGGAGAGCGAACACTAGCGCACCTTGCTAAATCATTCAGAAGGAGATACACTGAGACGCCTTGCCCCTGATGCAAACGATAGGTGAAGAGAAACATGAAAGGCCCTATCATCTCTTTCCCTGCCCTCTTGACCTGCTGCCAAGAACAGCAAACCGAAGAGGTGGTGGGAATAACACACCTTTGTTCGGCCTCAGAGGCTCTCGGCTTGAAACTGAACTTTTGATCTGTACTCATCGTTACTGGGGCAGCTACTCAGTTCCCCAGGAGCAGGTATTCTCAGTAGGCTACTCAAAGATGTCTCCACTTCCAAATGCCCTCTCTCGGCTGTAGCAATGTCTCTTCTCCTGGAGACTCTGAAGAACTGAGTTGTTTAATCCTCACATGTATCCCTCCTAACATCCCCAGCAAGCCTAAAGCCTAGGTTCTAGAAATGAGAATGTTCTAGAACTGTCTTCTTTCAGTAGAACTATCTTAGAAGACAAGTAGAACTGACTACATATTGGACCTCACAAATGTAGAAGTGCTTTCTCCCCCCCTTCTTTCTTTCTTTTCTTTTCTTTCTTTCTTCCTTTTTCTTTTTTCTAGATATGATTTCTCTGTGTAACAGCCCTAGCTATCCTGGAACTTGCTCTGTAGACCAGGCTGGCCTCAAACTCACAGAGATCCACCTCTGCCTCTGCCTCTTGAGTGCTAGGATTAAAGGCATGCGCCACCACCACCCTGCATTCCCCAACTTTCTTTAAACGTGTGAGACCTAACTTTGAGTACTGGAACCGAAGCCCATCTAGGGATGTGGGCTATGCTTTGCTGGAAACAAAAAAAAAAAACAAAAAAAAAAAAAAAACAAAAAAAAAAAAAGAATAACAGTGANATATTGGCATTCAGGAAACAAAAAAAAAAAACAAAAAAAAAAAAAAAACAAAAAAAAAAAAAGAATAACAGTGAACCCAGTTCTGGCCAGTTTTTTATAACTGTCTGTTAAACATCAACTAGACCAAGTAAAAAGTTAAAAACTCACGGAATTCAAAACATTCTCTGCTCCAAAGCTTAAGTGAATTAACTGAATCTGCTGGGAGCTATGTATATGTATGTGCTAACATGTGGCTGAGTGAACACGGGAAGCAGTACTATTGCTTCACACAAGGCACCTGAAGCTTGGACAATGTCATTCAATGTTTCTAGACGTCTTTCTTCTTCCTTAAAATGGCCCTCCTTCACAGCTGATGGGAATATTTGAGTGCCACAATGCCTCCAGCAAGGCTTCCTGAACGCTGAAGCATGGTGTGATTGTGTGCTGTTGCATAGTTGCCAATGGCCACAGCTGATGACTTCTGGGCGATAGGCTCATCTGCAGCCCTAAGTATAGAGAAGAAGCGAAGGATGCTCTTCAACAGAGAAATGAATGACCAGAGAACTTTGGCAAAAATGCAGGTGTTTTTATTTTAGATCTTAGCTTCTATGCTATGAAGATAAATAAGTGTATTTTTATTTTTAAAGTATCTACAATTATTGTATGTCAATATATAGTTTTGGGAGATATGATCAGGAAAACAACAGCACTTTTAAAGTTTCATCTAAATGTTTTGCTAGGATATAGGTATTTCTTCCACAATAAGGGTCCAGGAAAAAACCGATTTTAATAAAGTTAAAAATTAAGTAAGAACAACAGATTGAACAATCAAGGATCATTTTCTCTATGATTGGTTTAAAGTTGGCTGCTACCTTCCACTCAGCATCAAAGAGACGTGAAGAACATTCTAATTTGTTGTTCATCCTAGGGTCCACAGCTCAAACCCAAAATGATATGCTTAGAATAACTTCATTTTTGATGTTTCCACTTGGCAAAGTTAAGAAAAATAATGCAAAAATAATTATTATTCTAAGACTTTAAGGGCCTGACCAGTGGTCACTATGTGTAGAACACAATTAGACTTGAATTAACATATTTTTGAGACAGGGTTTTACTGTGTAGCCTTGGCTGTTCGATAACTCACTCTGTCCACCAGGCTGGCCTCGAACTCACAGAGATCTGCCTGCCTCTGCCTCCCAAGTGCTGGGATTAAAGACGTGCACCACCACCTGGCAACATTGTTTTGTTTTTTTGTTTAAATTAGTGTATATTCATTTAAATCATGAGGATTAGGAAATGCCCTTATGTGATTACAGTATTAAGTTGAAATGCAAGGCAGCGAACAATGAGTGGTTTTACTTAGATTACATTGATTTTTGTCTGGGACTTTTTTTTTTTCACCGACAGTTTGCACTAACTACTGGATTGCAATATTTCCTGGGACGCCCGGAGCCTAACACATGCTTGAACCTTGTCTCCCCTCTCCAGCTTGGACATATTCTCATTTGTGTATGCATCTCTTCTTAATATCTTTGTCCCTCTTCGGTAGAGACATCGCCAGAAAGTCAGTTCACTTCTTGCTCTCATTTCTCACCATCAGGCTAGAGAATATTTGTATAAATCAGTTCAGCAGCAGCTGCTGCTGTCCTCATTATTTGCAGTGAAACCAGGGCAAAGCAGAGGGGGGAATAAAAATAGACAGTGTTCCCTGGCTGTTTCCCTGGTCGAGCATTCACCTCCATCAGGATGCGGAGTGGAGTGCACCTTCCCTCGATATCCGCATGCTCCTTGCATGGATGGGAATGGCAAGCGATGCCCTCTAAACTCAGCCCATCACCACCCACTTCAGGGCTAGTGCTTCTTATCCAAATAGGTCCTCTTTACAACATGCACTTGCTATGTCTGTCTCCCGGATCTGGCTAAAAATTTGAAACACTGCGAGTTTGACAAGGCATACATTGACTTTAATAAGCTGGTGAGGCTTGCCAACTGGACACAGGTAAGTTTCCCTGACAGTCTGTGGGAACTTTTAGTGATCTGTTTGCTGAGTCATGGATGCTAGACACCCCCCCCCCTTTTGCTTTTGATTGGGCAGCACCTAATATCTAGCTTCTAAATAAAACCCTTCAACTTTTTAAAACTGCTGAACATTAATATCACTAATTTCACAAGAAGAGATTAAGGGGAAAATCAATCGCTGTTTGGAAAGAAGAGCTGTGTGTGTTCTTTTGAAAGGTCAGGAAAATGAGTAAAGCTCTATCTCAAAGGGATTTATCTTCTATCCTGAAGCTAAAAATAATTCTCAAGGAGGGGGGAGAACGATGCTCTGACCACTTCACTATGCTGGGAGGGAATAGAGAGTCGGCAGTTCCATACCTTGGAATCTGGTGCCCATGGAGATAAGGACACTGAGTGCTGCCCTCTACCCTGCCGGGTACAGGAAAACAGGGATGAAAGCAAAGCTCTCGATAGGATGATTCTGTCTACACAAGTTTGTTGTTGAGACCAAGCCCGGCATTTAAGGAAAAGAGGAAAGGATTCTAAACTTCCGCCGTCTAACACTTTCACAGTGGTTTTCATTTGGCAAACAAACACATAAAAAGCTAACATTCCAGCTTTCCTCTGCCCACAGCTCTGATTAATTCCCAGAGCCTGTTAGCCGTCTGCAGCTGACTGTAACGCTACCCAGCAAAGCCTCAAGGTCACAGTTATCATATCTGGATTGTGGACGTTTTCTTAACATGCCTGTCAATGAAAACCCCTTTAGTTCAATACACACGCGCATGCACACACACGTACACACGTACACACACACACATTTACTTTATAGAATCAGGGTGACCACCAGTGGGTGGGCAATTGACAAAGAAGCTACAGCCAGTACTTAGCAAACTACAAAGTTATGAGGGATTGAAGAAATTTCCTCTAGAAAGCTAAGAGCCAACGCTGGGTCCTTCTGCTTACCTTCTCTCTGGATTTGTTTACTGCCTAAGGACAGTCCCAGGCAGTCAGGTGCAAAAACACAAAGCTCTTTAGAGGGTAGAAGGGACTCCCGGTGTCGTCTGAGCTGCGATCTCAATTCCAGCGCTTTTCAGGCGGCTGGAATAGCTGGAGTGCTCTGTGTCTCTCCGGTCCTGAGAGCCGCTCCTGGCTTGGGGCTAGAGGGGAACTCGGTTTAAGGCTAAGTGTTAAAGAGAATTCCTGTCATAGCTCACAGTTGTTCTTCCTAAATATAGAGTTTGATACAAGCCATAGGCTGGCTGCCTCCGAAAGGCTTGTCCGTGTAGAAAGCAGGGCTCAGATATCAGCCTGGAGGTGGCTGCGTTATCTTACTGCCCTCCTAATCTTCCTGAGGAGGCTGGCTGCCTTCTCTCACATTTTTTGAGGGGTGTAACGAACTTCAAAACGTAGAAGTCTATCTTTAGCTGTATTATCTAGAGGCCAGAAAATGAGAAAAGGTTCATTAAAAACCGGGGGAAGCAGGGGTGCTGATATCAGACATTGCTTGAATCCAAGCTTGGTCGCTTGGGAGCTGTTAAAGTTATTTAATAATTGGCACTCGGTAAGCAGTCACCAAATAATAGAATTATACCATTACAGCAAACTATAGGACACTGTCCTAGCTTGTAGGTCGAACATGGTTAAAAATGGATGGGCTGGCGTGGCTGCCGGGCTCAGAGTCCTTGCTAACTTGGCTCTACTGCTTTTATTGATGCATTGACCTTAGATCTTGGCACACAGAAGAGAACAAAAAGAAGGGAGATGTCTACTTTTAGGTTTGGCAAGGGCCAAGATTAGGAACCTGGAGGAACATTTTTCAAATCCGAAGGCTCACGGTCACTGTTTTGAACATGGCTCTGTTGTTGAACTTCTTCAGGGTCTGAAATTAAACTCAGATAAATCACACCTTTAATGCCAGAACTCGAGAGGCAGAGGCAGATGTATCACTGTGAGGTCAAGCTTAGTCTAGTCTGCGTGGTGAGTTCCAAGCAGCCAGGATTATGAAAAGAGATCCTACCTCAAAAAATAAAATAAAATAAAAGCCAACAACAACAAAAACCCAAAACAAACAAAAAAAAAGCCTCCAAAACAAAATAAAACCAAAAACAACTTCGCTTTGGTAGAAATACTCAACCGGGTAGATAGACTTAAACCCCAGCCCCTGGGTGAGCCCACTCGGGACCACTGAGACAGGGCATTCTCAGCAGCAGCAGCAGCAGCGGCAACCATTCTTGCTATGTGAGGAAGAGAAGCTTCAAATGTTCTGAGTCAACCACCCCCTCCTGGCCAGGGGTGAAGTCACCAAGCATGGTGGACATCAACGGGGTCCAAACTTGTGGAGCGGAGAGTACTTGTCACCTGACCATCAGTCCCAGCTGGGGCCTCTCAGAAGCACAAAGAAGACAAGCACCTTACTTGACCTCATACCATGACCCTTCAAATTCCCAGGCCTCCTGTCAGCTCGAGGCTCCCGTCAAAGTCCGCAGCTGCCCACTGGCACACTCAAGCACCCACTGGGGTGATGAGTGACAGTTAAGGAGGAGGTGCAAGGAGACAGGGAATGAGATTTGTCTATTTCTGACGGGGACAGTCAAGATGAAGACTAGGTAAATGAGACAATGGGTCTCGCTCAAAGTGTGGAAAATGCGAAGCCAGAGGGCACCAGACATTGAAGGGAAAGCATAAGACTTTGGGGCGTATTTCAGTAAAAATTACTTCAGAGGAGAAGGGAACAGCGTTGTTCACAAAAACACGGTTCGCCAAAGTCCTTTTTACCTGCATACATTCACCTCTCCCACCCCAACACACACACATTACAGTCCAGGAATTGCAGGCTGTCTAACAACACAATACATGTGCAAATCCCTTGTTCAGCTAAAAGTGCTTTCTCTGGAATCATTTTATTGAGTCCTTTCAACTCTTCTGTGAGTTTAGTGACATTGTGCTTATGGTAGGAAAAAAGCAGGTGACAACTCATTCTACTGCCTCAGTCAGTTCTTCCTAGCTTTTAGTTTTTAGACAAGGTCTCAGGCAGATCGGGCTGGCCTGCAACTCACTAAGCCGACCACGTTGAGCTCAAAGCCATTGAAATCTGCCTGCCTCTGCCTCCCAAGTGCTGGAATTAATGATGCGTTCCACACCTTTAGCCTATTCCTAACTTTCAACTCTCAAATTCTTTCCTAGTATACAAAAGCACCTCAAGGAAGCACGCTCACGTGTGCACCTCCACATAGGTGCGTGTAAGTACAGCACCTGGTTAGGAAACATCCTTGCGCACTAGCGAAGAGATGCAATTCCGGGCTCGTGCAGAAATTCTATTATGCCGAAAGACCCAGGCTCTTTCAAGTTCAGTCCCCTTGCCGCCCTGAACAAGTCAGTATTTTATCATAAGGTCTCAATATGACAACCATAGCTCCAAGAATCAGGATCTGTCACGTACATCCAAACAAGGAGGAGGAGCAGCGGCTGCAGAAAAGGGGGAGGAGCAGTGGCTGCAGAAAATGAGGCTTTTATTCTCCCACAAAAGAAAATGCTTTCTCAGTTCTCCAAACCAACTTACCCTTACATCTTTAAAACAAACAAAATGATAATGGATGCAATAGCTGCAAAGGAGATAGATAAGTAGGTAGGTAGATAGATAGATAGATAGATAGATAGATAGATAGATAGATAGATAATAGATAGATGATAGATGATAGATAGATAGATAGATAGATAGATAGATAGATAGATAGATAGATAGATAATACATAGATAGATGACAGATAGATAATAGATAGATGATAGATAGATAGATGATAGATAGATAGATAGATAGATAGATAGATAGATAGATGATAGATAGATAGATAGATAGATAGATAGATAGATAGATAGATAGATGACAAAGGTGAATGAAGTAGAAATGATAACAAAAATCAAACATCCTACAAACTGGCATGCCCTTAGCAATGAAGAGACAGAATGCTAGTGACGTAGATAAGGTCTGCACACATATAAAAGGCTTCATATAAGTGTACTTTCCTACACATGACCTCATGCATTATGCACCACCTTACAAAGCAAATGTGTATATTGTAAGGGGCAACATATTTTTAAAATAAATATGAAGGGGGAAAAGTCAGTGTAAAAACTCTAGAATCACACTTCACAGAATATACAAACATGAATCACATGTAACTTAAAGACATAGGGGTTTATTTTGCTGTAGTTATTGCTGTTTTGTTTTGTTTGAAGATGTATTATATTGTCTAATCGCATATGTGCACCCACATGCCTATGGAAGCCAGAAGGTGTCAGATTACCTAGCGCTGGAATTAAAGATAGTTGTGAGCCGCCTACCATGGGAACCATAATTCCAAGTCAGGTCCTTTGCAAGAGATGTATGAGCCCTTAACTGCTAGGTGCCACTCCAGTCCCAATGCATAGCTTTAATTCTAATAATAATATAAAAAAGATTGAAATATGGAACAGCTTTTAAGGTATACTATTAGCACCAAAAAATGGTTGCATAGAATAAATACTGATACCCTTTCTAAATAAAAATTTAAAGGACCTGTGTAGAATAATAAAATAAGTATATTTTCTGTATGCACATTTGTCATAGAATTAACCTGTTTGTATAAAGCATGCTTTCTAATCAAGAGAAAAAGCAATGCTAAACTTGGATATGGACCACAAAGGATTGGAAAGGTGGCTAAGAGTTTAAGAGTTCACACCACTCTTGCAGAGGATCCAAGTTTGGCAACTCATAAGAGCCTTTAACTCTAGTTCCGGATCCTGTGCCCTCTTGTGGTCTTTATGAGTACTGCACTCATGTGTGAAAATCTCTCCTCCCTCCCTCCCTCTCTCTCACTCTCTCTCTCTCTCTCTCTCTCTCTCTCTCTCTCTCTCTCTCACACACACACACACACACACACACACACATACACACACACACTTAAAAATAAACCTTCAAAAGTAAGATATACAAATATCTAAGTATCCAGAGCCAGCCGGATAGGTCAGTGGGTAAAATAACTTGCTGTCAAGCCTAATGACCTGAGTTTGGTCCTTGAGACTCACATGGCAGCAGGAAAGAATCAACCCCACAAACATGCCATCTAACCTCCACATGTCTCCCACAAATAAATAAATAAATGTAATAAAAAATGTTTAAATAATCAATTTTCCAAAGTATATAATAATTTAATTTCAGAATTCTGCACGTGTATAAAATGCTGTGCATTTATTTCCATTTTGTAAGTGACAGAATGCACTGAAAAAGTTCCAGTCAAATTCCTAGAGTTGTGGCTGAGTCAAAACACAAATGAAATTATAATATTCATCAAAAACTCATGGATGATTTGGAAAAAATGGTAGAGTATCAAATGCCAAGGCCGACAGGAAGTGGAAACTAGATCTTGTCAGGGACACTGTGAGCCAATCCACTTCTTCCCTTAGCTCCTGGTTCTATTCAATGGCCGTATGTTGTCTCTCTCCTTAGACCTTAGCTTCATTCCACAAGCACCCACAAAGAGGAAACCTTTCTTTTAGAAAGAAGCAATGTGTAGAATTGGAACTCCACTCACAAGCAAAATACTTTTCATGTAGTTTTGCACAGAACTTGAGCATCTCCTTCCTCCAAAATCTATTTGCAAAAGGAATGTTTGCTTTATCCTTATAGAATTTGACAACTTGCGTCCCAAAAATATTCTCCTTCTGTAATAAATGAGTATTCTGCCTCAAAGGGGATTCAGATTTTCATCTCCAAAAACACACTACCTTGCCTTCTGTCCTTAAAGAAATGACTGACAACCAACTCTCAGTTGTCCTGTGCTTTTAACTAAGTTATCTTTTAATTTTTTTATTAATTTTGTATATATATGTATGTGGGTGTATACAAGGACACATGCCACAGAGTTCATGTGGAAGATAGAGAACATCTCTCAGGAGTTGGGTCTCCACCTCCCTTGTGGAATTCAGTGATAGGATACAAGCCATCTTGTATCACACAAGCACTGAGCTACCTTCCTAGCCCCAAGTCACCTTTTAACAGAAGAATAACTTCATTCACTCATCGCTTGTATTAATGTTGCTTGTTGTGATCCTGGAACTGTTCTAGAAGTTGGGGACTTAGAAATGAGGAAGATATACTTCCCTGAACCTGTTCACCAGTCTTGTAGAGAAGACGAATAACAACCTAGTTGTAGGTTTCATGTGCTATGGGAAAACTGACCACACAAACTGCTATAGAGTTCATAGGAAAGTGCCCTGATGCTCACACCCAAAGGATAAGGGCTTTACAAGGGGTGAAAGTTCCAGCCGAATATCCTGAATGTCTA